ATGACTTTGATGAATGTTAGGAGCCCTGGTGGCACAGTGGTTAGAATGCAGAATTGCAGGCTAACTCTGCCCACAGCCTAGAGTTCAATCCTGATGGGGCTCAAGGTTGACTCAGCCTTCCATCCTTCCAGGTTCGGTAAAATGAGGACCCAGATTGTTGGATGCAATAGTCTTGACTCTCTAAACTGCTTAGAGAGGGGTGTAAAGCACAATGGGGAAGTGTGTAAGTCTAAGTGCTATTGCTATTGAGCTGAAACTTAATTTATTTTCCTGGCCATAACAAGATCTTAATCCTAGCTACACTCAATCTTTGGACTCTGGCTTTTGGCACAAAACTCAGAACCAACTTTAACATTATCCCAAAGCAGCTCTGAGTAAGCAAGAAACCTCTCTCTTCCCCCCCACCCCCAATGATAAGTACATATTGTATGTTGCTGTGTCAGTTATCCCTTCCCCGGTATTCATCTATACACTCTTGCCTTGTTTTGAACACCTGCTAGTTAATTTGCTTAATGAGTAAACATGTACCACATAGCCTATCGGGTGCTTCAGCGAACACATGTTCTCCTCACAAGTTTAAAAGTTAGTTATCCTTTGAGTCATCTTTGGAAAATGATTTAGGAAATTTTGTTGAAAGACATCTTTGGTAGTTTATCTTTAAAAATGACTAAAAATGCTTATTTCTGCTGCAACCAATACCTCCAGAACAGTTTTTGCTTTTACTGATTAGAAATCCTATCTCAACTTTCGTGCTGTTCTCATTAGAAAAACTTGCACATTTGTAGAATGCACACATTTGGAAAATGGATATGATAATCATCAGAAGGTCATGTTTTAATTAAGGCTGTGCACATTTTAAAATAATAGTTCAATTGTAGCTTCTTTAAATTCAGCCATTCTTCTGTGAAAACATACAAGAAGAATGAAAATTCTTGCATGACAATTAATATAAATTGGAATATTGCTACTCCTGCATCAATTTCTCCTGGGTTTCCTATATGCTGTAAGTAATTCTTGAGTTCTGTCACTTTTCTGGCAATTACAGTCAGTGATAGATATTATAGTTCAACTTATGTGATACCAACTTGGGGAAGGCTATTCTAGTTCTCATATTAGCTTTTTGATGGCAGATCAAATCACATTTCAATTTTAAATGGCTAGTGATACGATTAGTCTGGATTTTGTTATACACTATCTTTTTTCTGTTTATGTATCTATTTATAGAATATATTTTGGGGCTAATGACATTAAACCAAAAATATAGGATAATGTAACATATCACAACACAGTAAAATATAAATTAATTTAACTAAGCAACATTAGACAGACCAGCAAATCACCCAATCAATGGCTTCCAAATAATCTTTAGAATTACACAATTTTGGAATGGAAAGTGTAATGGAAGTAAGATCAGAGCAAATGGTCAAAGAAGTCTGACAATATGGATTCTTCTTGGAAAAGACTTTGTTTTGGGTGAATCTCAGTCAGCAACAGCAGTCTGAGATTCATTCTCATGATATTATATTTTCTGTAAAGAAAGTCAATTAATAGCCTCTAGACCAGGGGTGTCAAATTGCCGGCCCATGGGCTGGTTTCATCATTCTGAAGCCGCGCCCACCCCATTGCCGGCAATGCAAAAAGAATCGTGACATGGCGAGTTTGACTCCCGTGCTCTAGACTGACGAAGTGACATACTTCATGATCATTTAAAGGTAATTTCTTATGCTAACATATTAAATGTATCCAAAAGTTATAGTAATAGCCTTTGCCACATTTTGATTTAAATTCTGTGGTTGGAACACAGAACTACTAGTAAACTAATAGTGGTTGCATGTCACTATTTTGAACTGGTATCTCTCCCCTTCCTCAAAATGGCTTATTCCTCAGTCTGATGATGGAAGACAACAGTAATCTTATTCTATTTATGCAACCTTTTGTTAAATTATAGACTACTTTTAAGTACTATTGTTGTATAGAACAATAAACAATAGAAGCTATTTATTTCAAAGTGTAAGTAGTATCTGTGTCTTCATTAGAATCTGTTGGTTGTTAAATATATCTTTTTCTCTTGATATTGATGGGGTGCAGCAGTTGTGGAGCTCCAGAAACCATACACAGTCTTGATTCTTGTGGAGGAAACTCACAGTTGATGTCAGAATCTGCTTGCAAATTTTTCTTTCATTTCTGCATCTGTTTTTTTTTTTTTGAGGAAGGTTTTAAGTTTTGCTCATTAGCAAAACTGTTGGTAGTAGAGTTTTTTTTTTAACAATGTGATGTACCTCAGCAATGTTTTGTTGATTTCCAAATTGCTGGCATTGTATAACAATTTAATGTAGACTGAGTTGCTTTGAACATAAAAAGATTATTTGTACAGTATGGTTTACTCTAAAGATATCAAGCCAGATGTTGAACTAAAATATTCATCATATGTGACTGTTGGCTGGAATTGAAGGTTAACACATTCTGCATTTTCTTTTACATTAGTTGATGCTGTTTTCATCAAGTGGTTTGCCAGTTGGTTTCAATTGCCATTCTAATTGAAACATGGCTTTCCAAAATCACAGGCAAAATTCTTTCCTAGTCCTATTTTCTAAGATCTTTTGATACCATGGATTTTACTTGAGATGTTTTGCATTCAAAGCATGCATTGTTCCATTGAAAAGAGGCCCTTCTAATTAAACAGTTTGATGCAAAATTGCATAATGAGTTATTGATTCTCTTTCTAATTACAGCTGAATACTATCTAATTCATTAGAAGTTATGCATATCATTCTTAATATTCGGCTTATATAAAGGAGATTTCTTGCATCAGATTGCTTTGGCTAAAGCTAAATTTTTACAGAGAATAAAAGTGGTTCGCTTTCTTGCATGTTTAGTTATCTTCCTACCATTGTAGCCATGTTTTAAAATATCGGAATAATAAACAACAGTAATATTCCTCGAGAAACCTATAATAGCCTTCTTGCATTTAATGTATCTCCAAATGTGTTGAATTACAGTTTCTATCATCGTCCAGCCATATGGTTGTAGCTATTTTGACTTGAGTTTATTATCCTCTACATTTAGTTGGCACAAGCTTGCAGAAGCCTGGAATATCACTTTCTTAGGTTGAAGCTTTGATAGAATGACAATTAAAGTGAGCAAAACAAGTTCTTAGTTGGATTTTTAAGGGAAAGGGTGCCAGGTGAGGATTTTTAAAAAATAACTTTTCTTCCTTTATAGGCTGTCTTTCCAAGTACTCAGACAGAAACTGAAAAGGTTGAAAAATCAGGAACTGTGCTGGTAGAAACTGGTCCAGTATCTTATAATCATGAGGAGGACGTGGAAGAAGAAGAAATTGAAGAGGAAGAGGATCATTGTGTGAGCGCCCTTAAACTAATGGGAGGAAACGGTAGGTTGTTTTATGCACCTCAAGACCCCCCATAACAAAGAGAATCTATAATCGTGTCTCACATGAAAATATCTTTGTGTGGCTGCTTCTTTTTTGTCTCTTGCCAGCAAATTTAATAGAAAGATTCTGTAGGTCAAATTTATTTATTTAGCAACGGGTGGAAACTAATCAAGGAGAGAAGCAATCTAGAACTAAGGAGAAACTTCCTGACAGTGAGAACAATTAACCAGTGGAACAACCTGCCTCCAGAAGCGGTGAATGCTCCAACACTGGAAGTTTTAAGAAGAGACTGGACAGCCATTTGTCCGAAATGGTATAGGGTTTCCTGCCTGAGCAGGGGGTTGGACTAGATGACNTATTATTATTATTATTATTATTATTATTATTATTATTATTATTATTATTATAGAACTTGGCTGGCAGATGTTTTGGAATGTAGAATATGAACTTTTGGTTTCTGTTCTTACCTCAGTACTCCAGATGACTTTTAAAAGTTAATTAATTGAACGAGGATATGTAGATTATCAATTAACATTTAATGCTTTCTAATAAACTGATTATAGCTTTTGGTTTCCAAGCATAAATAGCAATCATAAATGTTCCTCCCAAAGCCAGTAAATAGTATTCAATAAGGAGAACTAGTAGTTTGAACTACAATATAATTGTGTATTAAAGCTTTCATTGTAGCATAAATCTGTACATATAGCCAGTGCCTCGATGTGGAATATACTAATTGTGAGGTCTGACAGTATCATGGGGAGATGGCTGAGTGGAGTGTTGATTATTTACTGTGTAAGTTTCAAAATACCTTTAATTTAGCAGTGGATGCTGATTTCAAGTTTTGTGCAGGAACTATAGAATAATCCTAACAGATTGGCTTGATTTGAGTGGAACGAAAGTACGTAAACTGTTGGGAATTCTTTTTCCTGTGGCATATGCAAATATAATTGCATTAGCAAAACACTCTGCCCTACGGCAGGGCTCCCCAACCTTGACCACTTTATGACTTGTGGAGTTCAACTCCCAGAATTCCTTAGCCGGCATGGCTGGCTGAGGAATTCTGGGAGTTGAAGTCTATAAGTCATAAAGTGGCCAAGGTTGGGGACCTCTGCCCTACGGTATATATGCATGCCTGTATTTGCTGCAAGAAAGTAGTTTGGTTTCAAGTCCCGCAGCATCCCAGTGCAGAGACCCTATCACCTTGCACTTCACCAGCCCTGCAACTCTCAGCTGATTTCATATTTTTTCTCCATGTGCTGCTCTTTGGAAGGTAGCTACTGGCTGCACAAGGCCTTCCCCAAGTCATGTATGTCCTTCTGTAAGTTGTGTGAGGCCTTCTGAAGCCTCATGGGATGGTCATGCGCAGCCTCAGGAAGAAGGCCTTGCACAGCCGGCATCAGCCTTGTGAAGGATCCGGCTGAGTGCACCTCATCAGGAGGAAAAAGAAGATGTTAAAGTTCAGTTAGTGGAATCAGGGCAGCAGAAGCAGCAGAATGTAGGGTGGCCAAAAGGGCAGAGATGGGGGGGGGAGGAGATGGGTAGGAGGAGTTGAAGTATTTCTGTGGTTATAGGGCCGTGGTGGCGAACCTGTGGCACACGTGCCACAGGTGGCACGGAGAGCCCTCTCTGTGGGCACACGCGCCGTCGCCCTAGGCCTTCAGCTGGGTTTTATAAAACCTTTTCGCTTTAGGCCTCTGCTGCCATGTACAAAAAAAAAAAAGGCTCAATCAATCAGTCAATTTCAACTTCTCGCAGGGAAAAAAAGATCTTGCAAAGTTGGAATTGATTGATTGAACTTTTTAGTCCCACCCAGTCTGCCGTTACCACCGTAGCCACGCCCACCCAATTGTCCACACCCACCCAATTGGCCACACTCACCCAATGGGCCATGCCCACCCGGCACCTGACGATACATAAGTGGGTTTTGGGTTGCAGTTTGGCCACTCGGTCTCTAAAAGTTTCGCCATCACTGGTATAGGGTAAGTGGGCTTCCAAGTGCCCAAATTTTGATCCGGTAACTGCAGGGGCATTGCAACCACTGAAACTTTGGGAAGTAATTTTATCAAAAAGAGCTTCTAAAGTAGGTAGGTAAGATTAATTTTTGTAAGATTACATAGAAAAATCTGTGAAGTTAATGATCAGTATACTTATCAATTAGTTATCATAAATATTCCTAATAAAACCTTTTGTTAGAACCCTTTATATACCTTTAAGATATTTGGTACTTCACAAGTTATAATAGTTTATTCACTTGGTGACTTAGGTGACCCACTTTTGAGCTTTAGTTCTTTTAAAGTGCTTTAGTTGACTACATTTCTATTTTATTTTTTTGTAGGCTTTATACTTTGTCTATTTGTTTATTATGCTGGTAGGAACTATTTCTGTGCCCTGAGTGAACTGTCTAGCTTGTGGTAGACTATCTTGTGATGCTACTGCTTCTAATAATTTTCCATCCTTTGTTTTTAGATTATGGCTGTGATGTGGAAGATGATGATGGATATTAAACCTTTCTGTCTCCAAATGGAAATTGTGGGAGAAGCCACTAGTAGTAAAAACAATTTTTCCTGCCTTGGAAACAAAAGTTCTGTTTGCAGTGGATTCCTGTCAGTTTTCTTTGACCTACAGGCAGGCACTGGAACTTGGCTTTAGAATACTTGAAATGTTTCTGATTTGGATCATGATATAAGAAAAAGATTAACTGAAGCAACAGTTCCAGAGATGAAAGAATAGCCAAATGGCTGCCCAAGCATCCTTTGGACTTACCATGTCCTGGATTCAATAATATACATTGCTGTAAGAATGTGTACAAAGAAGAAGAATTGTTTCAGAATGCTAGACTTTTGTGTGAATATATTTGAGACTTGAACATTTTTGAGTTGTACTGTTTACATCAATAGGATTCTCAACAGCAGAAGCTTGTTCCTGCTATAACATCCATGTCTTCATGCTTCAGAAGTGGTAAAACATATCAAAATGGGCAGACAGCTTCCTTTGGAAACAAGTTCAAATGTATTCTTTGTTTGTTTGTTTGTTTGTTTGTTAATACCATCCTAGGATCAGACCATTGCTTGCCTGTCATCTCTATGCCAGTGTAAGACAAAAAAGTTGCTCTATTAGAGTGGAGACCTCATGGGTGTTGGTGTTGTTCAAAGCTTCTTTGCGAGTTATTCTGTGTTCCAAGAACATTAAGCTGGGTCTTCCTTTACACCAGGGGTGTCAAACTGCTGGCATGCAGGCCGGATGCATCATAGCGAAACCGCGCCCACCCCATTGCTGGCACTGGGGAAAAAATTGTGATACGTCGCGACACCCTTGCTTTACACTCACTGCTACTATTAGAGATGAGGCAAGCAAAGGCTAGGCTGACAACAGAAGGAAGGAAAGCTCAATAGATTAACATCTGACACTCTTCTTTTTCTGACTGAGGACCATTTCACAAGTTTTCTGTGCCCCATCCCAGGTTTTATTTTTTAATTTTAAAAACAAGATGATATCTCAGGGCAATTTCTGTCCTCTTGGCAGAAGTGTCAGATTTCTCTCCCAGGTAATGCCTTTGTTTTGTTTTGTTAAGCAAGTAGTTTGAAGTTTTTTTTTTTCTGTTTGATGTAAAGTAATTTTCTATTATATAATGGTGCCATTAAGGATATATTTATAGCTCAACAGTGCAAAAGGCTCATTTATGATTATTTTAATCAGTTAATCAGTTGGTATAACTAGTATCCTGAAAAATGTAAAACAGACTAGTAGTTTCCCCACCTAAATTGTGTAAGACAGATTTTTCTTGATTCTCATCCTCCCTGGACTATAAGTTAGCTCTGCCCAGTTTTCATGTTGATCTTTATTAGCCAAACTACCTCTTTTTGCCAATGCTTAACTGTACCAACTCAAGGTGGGATGATGTTTTTATTTCATCCGCTTGAAGACTAAAGTGGAAACTATTTTTTCCCTTTGTTTCCAAGGCCAGGATCTCAAATGGCAAACTGTGTCTTAATTATATTACAAATTGGAATTCCCATGAGGAAATGGCATTCCATTCCTTTCCAGATAGGCAACTTAGCATAGTAGAGAAAAATGCTGGCATTTTTTTTTACACAAAGAAGCTTTCAATCAATGACACTTCACACTTAGACTGGCACACTCTACGCTTGCAGTCTGAAATGGTTTGGGCCAGGTACAGATTTATCACTTTATTAAATTAATCTCAAGGTGCTGGTTAAAGGTTAGCAATATGTTCAGTAAGGAGACTATGGCTAGTCCAGTTAGTTATTCCTGTGTGAGGGGCATTTATCTTGGCACTGAATTACTATATTAGTACTTGTAAAATTACAACTCTTTTTTTCAATAGTACTTTGTCCAGTTTTACTCTGAAAAAGATTGTTATGGTAACATAATTTATTCATTGCTAGAGGAACGAGCAAAACAAATGCTTTTTTGTAAGCACTGAATTAGGAGTTTGCCAACAATTAGCTTGAGCAGCTGCTGCTTTGCCTTATGGCAGGGATGAGAAACCTGAATCCCTCCAGAAGTTGCTGAACTACAACTTTTGGCAGTCCCAGCCAGCATAGCCAATGACGAGGGATGCTGGAGGCTGTCATCCAACACCATCTGGAGGACCACAGGTTTTGCATCTCTGCCTCATAAGTTCATTTGTTTCCAAAGAGATGTTCCAAAAGAGGTAAAACTTCTGGTCAGTGACTTTATCTCCTCACTGCATTGGAGAAAATGAAAGTCTCTCTATCAGACTTCTTAGAATAGAAATTGCTACTGCTTCAAAAAAAAGGTATTATGTTGGCAGAAGAAAAAAATACATATATGAAATCCATAATTTTGGAATCAGATGTAACTTAATAATGTTTGTATTCCAGATCAATTTCATAATAACCACATCAGACACCCAACTGTACCTATGTGGTTGGGTTCTCTATGCAGCATGGCAAGTTTCTTTTTTGTGTGTACTTCCTCATAGCACAGGTTGATCCTATGGAGTTAGGTATGCATTGTAACCAGTTAAATTACAGATCTGGACTGCAAGTTACAAAACTGGAAGGGGTGGGCAGGGGCATCATGGACAAACATGCAATGGACACTTCTTAATCAGAGTCTGAGTGGATCAGGGTTGGCCATCATTGTAACCTCACTTAAGCATTTTTATTCTTGTTGGATTGCAAAATAAGCTACAAAAAAAGTAGAATTGGGAGTTCTTGTAGGGGCTTGTAATATTAAACCAATTATCCTATTTAATTTTTTAATAAAAATACTGTTTCAAGGAATGTTTATATATGCTTGTTTCAATTTGTTCTTGGAGGCCAGATTTTCCTTTTGCATCATTGTTCTATTCTATAGCTGTCTTAAAGTCCACGCCTCTCATCCTATGTTTTGGAAGGATCAAGAAATGAGAGAGCCAAGAATTGATCTTAAATAGTTTTGCCCATTGCATACTAGCATAATTGTTCAGCTGCATGATTTTCCTAAACTGAGCCAATCAATAATATTTATTCAGTCAATGACCAGCAAAAATTAAAAAACAAAAACAAAAACAGTGAAGCAAATAAATACAATAATATAGTAACAACTCACAGAATAAATCTGTAAAATTCTGACATGAGCATTCATTATCTCATGTTCTCACTCATCAGATTTAAATGTAACATGTGGTGCTTTTGCTGAAAAATGACAGAATAGGTAAAAGTATGTAGTTGAGAGAGAGTGCATTTTTCTAACTTAAATATCTGTTTACAGCAAAAGCAACCCTATTCTGAATTTCATCCACTATCCGCTGTTTGTCCACAAATAGCATTTTAATGCTGGGTCTAATAGAAGGAGCAGTGTTGTAGCTCCTACACATACAAAAGTGAGAAGGTGGCTTTGGAAGCATTGCATTCCATTGTGCCATTCAATTTGGAGTTGATGCTGTTTTCTATCCTTTCTGTTTGTTCTATCCTTCCATGTATAGGCTTCACAAAGACTGGAGTTGTTGTAATACCTTCTTACCCCCTATCCTCAAGCTTAATTTTCCCAAGAAGAACAAAGAAAGGGAGAAACAGCACTAAGAATCCATTTATTTGAGTATGTGGCCTGATAACTTTTGTTTAAAGCATTTTTGTTGTGCTGGAACTACAGTCTTACTGCCTCCTACATTAGTTTCCACGTAGAGCTACCAGATCTAGGGCGCAAAAAAATTGGAAAATGACAAGAGGCAGGAGTTTTTTTGTCTCTCTTTGCAACTACCATTTGGTTGTTTAGATGTTTGCCCAGACAGGATAATCCTATATTTGTAGATCAAACTTTTGAGAGCCAGTTTGGCCTAGTGGTTAAGACGTCACTCTAGAAAATGGGAGACCATGATTTCAAGTCCGATGTTAGCATGAAAGCCTGCTGGGTGACTGGGGCCTGCCGGGTCACTCTCTCTCAGCCCAACCCACTTTACAGGGTTGTTATGGGGAAAATAGGAGGAAGGTGTGTTGGATATGTTCAGCACCATGAGCGATTTGTAATATAACAAAGATGAGATAGAAGTAAATAAAATAAATAAACACAATATTTTCATTTGCTATTTGTATGCAGTACATTGCGCAAATTATTGCTATTGTGAAATCAAACATTTAATCATTGGTATTTTAGGCAAGGAACAGAGCTGAACCTTTTCTTTTTTGTAGAGATCCTGATGCAAATCACTTCTTTAAGCCCTTATTTCCATTTGAGAGAGACCTTCACTAACACTTTTAGGACTTTTCTTTCCAGTGTAAATAACAGCTCTGGAATAGTGGATTTTCATCAAGATAGTAGCAAGGAAAAGAGTTAGATTCCCCTTTCTGTCCCCAGCCATCTGAATCAGCTCCTTTCACTCCTTTCCAACGAACTACTACTCTGTGTTTTTAAAAAGTAACCAAAATGTCTTTAATCTCCTATTTTTGTCTTGAATTCAGTTCTTTTTTTATAAACTGGAGGTAATCAACAGGTCACAAGAAGGCTGCCAGTTCAACTCCCATTAGATTCATCCAGTCATATAATGGAAGATGTACTGTATACTGAAGTTGGCTGCTTCATGTGGCCATGCTCTCTGTGCATGTATATGTGTGTGTGTGTTTGTGCTGTTTTTGCTTCCAACTACATATTTGGGGAGTAGACCATTGTCCTCTGAAGGCAGAAAAATATTTGAATTTACAGTTGCATATTTAAGGCCTTTCCAACCTGCATCAAAGTTTATGATTCATTTAATTTCATAAGGTCTTTTTTCCATAATTCATTTCTCTTTGATATAATTAAAGCTCAGGGATTACACATGGATAAGCAGATGCCACTTTCTGATTCTGTGCTTGCTTAGGCAAAAAACAAAAACACGAAAAGGCAAGTGGTACGGTTAACCTTCACCTGCCACTGTGATATTATGCTGAAACATTTTGTGGAATTCCCTTGAAGTAATTTGGACTATAGTCTCATTTCAGATGAAACGTAGGAGTTCAGGGACTGTTGGTTTTAAATTGTGAAACGTGTGTATTTTTCCTCCCTAGTACTGTACACATGTTTAAGGCATTTAATTAGGCAAAATATCCCAGCTGTTGAGTTGTGCTTTTGCACCTTATAACCTTCTTCATTCTTCTGTCACTGAGCCTCCTTAATTTTTCTGTGATCTGGCAGCTCAGCCAACATACAGGTGGTGAACCAGGTGATTGCTGCATCTGCCTGTTTGTAGCAAGCCCTCCTTCAGCATTTTGAGAAGGATGACTTCCTGGAACCCTGGCCTCCACATAAATGGATATCTGTACACAACCACCTAGTTAAGACTAAATTGTCTGCCATGCGGATAATGGCGGCACCCCAGGAAAATGGAAATCTAGGGTTTAACAAATAGCACAGAAAGGACAAATGTAGGTTATGGCTCAAACATTTGCAGGTATTTAAATCTGTATCTCAAACATTCACATTTGGTATCTTTTCTCCATCCTACGTGCTATTTTTCATGGAAGTTACATTCTTCAGTACAGAAAGCTTTAAGCAGGAGCACATACAGTAGCACTGATATAC